GCGGCGGCTTGGCCAGGCACGAGGCCAAGGGTTTGTTAAATGGCTCAGGGATTGCCTGAGCAGCCGCTCCAAGCCTGTACATGGCTGGACGAAACCTAGAGGGTGGCAGTTGTCCCAGGTCCACACTCCCCTGGGTCCTTCGAGTCATGCGGACGATGTGGCCAACGTTCAGCGTGAATTGTGGGAAGGCATATGGGACGGTGGGTCTTCGCCAGCCTCACTGGAAGAGCTGCAGCATGACCTGGCGCAGCTTCGTGATTTGGGTCCTCGGCTCCCACCCATGGGCATCCAGGAGCTACGCAAGGCCGCCAAAGCCTTTCCTGCCAGGACTGCTGTAGGTGCTGACTTATGGAGGCCCAAGCACTGGGCCCTGGTATCGAATGGGGCTTTATCGTTCTTGGGATATATGTTTCATTTATGCGAGGCATGGTCTTCCTGGCCTCGATATCTCCTGCATCTACATATTGTGTTGCTTCGGAAACCTGCTGGGGGATATCGGCCTATCGCTCTGCTGTGTTCTTTGTATCGAGTTTGGGCCAAGGCTCGCATTGGACATGTACGAAGATGGGCCAATGGGTTAGGACGACCATATATTGCGCTTGGCACGGGCAGGGCGACCACGGACGTTGCCGCACGCGTGCTGTTGCATGGTGAAGCTCACCCACCGCAGAAGGAGGCGCAGTGGGATGACACTGTATGCTTACACGCCATCGTTGACATTGAGAAGTGTTTTGACAGGGTTCCCTGGGCCGTCACCACTCAGGCTGCCATCAAGCACGGTTTCCCAGGGGCCCTGGTGGCCCTAGCCTTACGCATGTACACGTACGAGCGACGACTAGCCTGGGATGGGGCTTTCTCGGAGCCTGTGTATGCGTCTCGGGGAGTACTTCCAGGATGTAGCATGGCTATGTTCATGTTACAGCTGGTTCTGTTATCGCCTGTTGATGCGTTGCATGGGAGCACGGAGCACATTGATCGCGCGCTGCACGTGTACGCAGACGACCTGGCGGCGCAGATCCAAGCTAAGGTAGACTGTATATTCAAGCACGCATGTTATGTGTTGGAAGGGTTGGTGGACGTACTCGGCTCCGTTGATTTGGCGCCCGCCAAGCGCAAGATGACCGTGACTTGCGCTCACCCCACTATTGCCCAACGAGTTTGTCGTGCTCTAGGCAAGTTTGGTTATAGATACGTGTCGGCCCTTGAAGTGCTGGGCATAGAGGTTACCTCAGGACGAGCATTGCGCTTTCAGGGGATTCGTGCACGTGTGCGTAAGATGGGGGCTCGCTATCCCAGATTGCGTCGTGTTCGTAAGGCAGGGGCTCTCACGGGTAGGTTTGCCAAGGCTGCGGTGCCTGCGGCACTCAACTACGGTGTGGGAGTACACGGTGCCCCTCCTGCAGTTGTCCACTCCATGCGTAAGGCGATGCACAGTGCATGGTATGAACCAGGTCGTGCGGGTTCGTCGTGGATATCATCTTTCTTGCATGGCGGGGGTCCGCAGGACCCCCAGATCGCAGCCTGGGTGGACCCTATTTATCAGTGGTGTTTATTGTGTTGGGATAGATCACAGCACGCACTTCTTCAGCAGGCCTGGCGTCGCCAGGCCCCAGTCATTTACGCGTCCAAGCAACCATGGGGCTCAGTGTCGGGACCCGCGGGGGCCACGCTACTTGCCTTTCGTTCGCTCAAGTGGGTATCGTCCTCTGCTTTCGCCGTTCGAACTGATCAGGGGGATATTCTGGACCTTCGGGAAGCGTCTCCTCTTGCCGTACGAGACTTGGCTCGTGCTGCTGCTGTGCGACGATTGTGGTCGGATTGGGCCTCTCGGGCTGATCGTGATACCTCGTGCACTTTGGACCCCAAGAGCCCCGCTGGGTATTGGCTGGAGCCCATAGTGTCTCTCTTGGGTAAGGCTAGGCAGGACGAGAACCCCGAAAAGCCCTACCTACTATCGCACCAATCTGCAGGTACCCTGAGGGCCATGGTCACGGGAGGCTTATGGACACCAGCTAGACGATTTACGTGTGGATACGTTGATGCCGCTCAGTGCCCTTTGTGCCCCGAGGTTGCAGCTGACGCCTTTCACATCCCGTGGACGTGTACCTGCAATGAGGAGGGGCGCAACACTTTGTATGACGATCATGATAAGTCTGTGCTTCCTCACCCGACCCCAACATCCTGGTTTTGGGCTCGTGGCCTACTGCCACGTACTGTATTTCCAGCCATTCCACAGAGGGATGATTCATGCACGTGGCATTCGTTGTACGGGGACTGTCAGGTAATTACTGGGCATGTGTTTTCTGACGGTGCTTGTCGCAAATATCACTACTGGCCAGAGGCCTCTCGGGCTGGATGGGGTTTCGTTCAAGTCGGGGACCATCGTATTATTGTGTGCGCTTATGGGGCCTTACCTGGCCCTGTGCAAACGTCCCCGAGGGCTGAGCTGTATGCGGTTGTTCAGATTTTGAGAGTTGCTATGTTGCCGATCACCATTTACACTGATTACATGGACCTGCCTGAAGGCCCCTCTCGTGGGCCATCATGGGGGTGCTCTCCTAGGCGCCCAAACAGTGATCTGTGGTGTGAAATATGGCGCAGGATAGAGGATCTTGGAGGACTGAGTTCTGAGCTTCAGATTTTCCATGTCCCAGGGCATCAGAAGGGCATGTCTTTTGAGGCCCGTGGGAACCGTTGGGCTGATTTTGCGGCCACCCAGGGCCGTGATTTGCATGCGGTTTCAGATCCTGACGCCCTCTTTATGAAACGGCTGTATACGGCCACACGTAAGACTCTCACCTGGATGGCCCGCGCGCATACCAAGTATATGTCGGAAACGGTTGCCCCAGGCCAGGATCGTTTTGAGCAACGGCGGAAGGCACGTGCTTTGGCCGCCGCTCGTGCTGTTGCCCCGTCTGACCCTGGGCTCCTGCATGTGTTTTATCCGTGCGCCAATGGATGGCGTTGCGTCTCATGCTCCAAGACCTGTCGGTCCGACAAGCAGCGTAGGATATCCGCGTGTCGTCGCTGCCCCGCGAAGATATCTCTTTGCGCGAGGATCCTTCGCGCGGCGGGTGCTGACTCTAGTAGGGTCGGATCGCAGGAATGTGAGCTGAGCCTGTCCACCCCTGCTAGCACGTCCGTTTTGTCGGAGGGTGGTGGGGGGAGGCCGCGGACGGTGGGGAGGAGCACTCTTCAGCAGGACCGCGCCCGCATGGCCTCGCCACATCGCAGGAATGTCCGAGCCAGGCAGGGCGAAGTGGCTATACCCACAGATTTGACAGAGGACCTTCTGGCATCAGGAGGCTATGCAGATTTAGATTCCATGATCGCTGAGGAAGCGGCGTTTCACGATGACTCAGGGATGGGGGCTGAGTCGGGACCGTCGTTTACGTCGTGGGACTGGGGGACGCCTGATCACGAGGTTGATCGAGCCCAGGCTTCGCAGCCTCGAGCTCCCCTCGTGTCGCAAGGTGTGTCGACTTCCACCTCCTCCTCCTCCGCTGCTCCTCCTGCTGCGACTGCGAGTCCTGCTCCTGCTCGTGCTCGTGCTCGCTCCTCTTCCCCTGTCCTGCGAATCGTTCGCGCTCGTTTTTCTGCCCTTCCCCCTCTGGACAGAGGGAGAGGGGTGAACTTTGCCCCTGCGGGCGACGACGAAGTGCAAGACGCAGTCCGAGCAGCGCAGGCGCGCCCCCCCCCTGCTGGTGGGGAACCCGCGCCGAAGTCTCGTCGTCTCGGGCCTCGTGGAGGCTCACGTCTCCCTAGCTCTAGTCCTCTCTCCCCCCTCCCTATCTCTGGGGACGTTGGCCCCAGGCAGGCTAGGGGGCATGAGGTGTTTGTGTCGCCAGGCAAAGTAGTCATTTGCCTCTCGTGTGGGGCTATCTCGACTGGGGGTGCGTCGGCATTACTAGATGCCTGCCCCCCACCTCCGTGTAGTAAGCGTGGTGCCTCTCACATCCACAGGTTCAACACGAACCGACACCCTTCGGACTTGCGGCGTCGTGAGAACATCCAAGGGCAGAGAAGGCTCCAGGTTTCTGATCCCGAGGTGCATTGGCTGCAACTCGGATGATTAACTCGTTAATCGTTATAAGAGCTTCTGCTCATCTGCGCTCCGACCCCCTCCCTGCCGTGATTCTTTGATGGGCGTGTGGGTGGGGGTCTCCACGAGCGCTGGGCCTGGGCCAACGGCTCGGGCCCGCTTTCGAGTGGCCGTTTGGCGCGCCGCGCGACGGATCCCTCTTCAGCCTGCGTCTCCTCCTCCTCCCCTTCATACTCCTCCTCCCTCCACCTCCTCCTCGTCCCGCCCCCCTCCGGATCCCGGATCCCCCTCTTTCTGCCCCTCGTCCTCCTGCGTCTCTTCCCTCCTTCTTTTCCTCCTCGCTCCTTCCCCTCCACAGCTTCCTCCTCTGGATGCCTGGGCCACGGGCGGGCGCGCGGGGCCCAGGGTCCATGTCGGCTGGCTCCCTCTGGCCGCCGCAGCTCTCCAGAGATCTCACAGGAGGCCTCTGGAGGGCCCCGGCGGAGGCCTCCCGAGTCCCGAGGAGGGCCAGAAGTGTCGTCGTCGTCGTCGTCGTCGTCGTCGTCGTCGTCGTCGTCGTCGTCGTCGTCGTCGTCGTCGTCAGGGGCGGGTTGCGCGAATTTGCGTGCGCTCGGCCGCCCGCCGCCCGACGCCCGACATCGGTTGGTGGGCGCTTCGCGAGTTCCCCGCCCTGCCCTTCTCCGCCCACGCCCTCGGCTCCCACCCCAGAATCGGGGAAGCGCGAGACTCGAGTACGCTGGAATTCGGAATTGCTGGCGCGGTTTTGACGAGCGCGTCCTGGATTGTGACGGTCCAGTGTTCGTGGGATGTTTGCAGCGGGAGCTCGCGTCAGATTTCAGATTGGGTCTCGTCACTTTCATGATGGTCCTGCCAGCCCAACCCGAGTCCCTGGAACCCGAGTCTTATGTCTCCCCGACAGAATCGCGCGAACAGCTACAAACAAACATCAAATGAGCGACGCAGAGGAACGGGGTCGTCTTCACCGACGTTGGCGCGGAAGCTGTCCGCGCAAGATGGCGCGTAAGCCCCCTTCGTCTCAAACGCAGCGTGTCGCGCTGGCGGCCCGAGTGGGCCACCGCGTAAGGTCGCGATGTCATCTCGCGCGAGACCCGCTTCTTCTTGTCGCCCAAATCGTTGTCAGGAGCGGGCGGGCGGGGCCGAGGCACCTCCCGAGGAGGAGTCTGGGGGCGGCGCCGACTGCGGCGGCCCCGCCGCCGCCGGCGAGTGGCCGAGCCCGCTGCTCCGCCCGCTCGTGCGCGAGTGGCAGAGCGCGTGCCTGGGCCACGTGGTCGTGGAGGCGGTGCCCGACGAGGCAGGGTCCATTTCGATCCGATCGATCCGATTCGGTATCGGCCGCAGCCAGCCCGATTCGATTCGATTCCGACTTTCGGGCGATCCGATGCGGCCCGATGCCCGCATGGCGTTGTTGTGGATCCCGGCGCAGTCGATCGGATTCGATTTCGATTCCGTGCCGATGCGACCCGATGTGATGCAGGTTCCGATCCGATCCGATTTTCCGATTTGATCTTGGTTGCTCTTGCTAGGGCGGCGCTGGCGGGGTGGTCGTCCTGCGCGCCTCCTTCTGTGGACCCCTCGCCCTTTGCCAACTCCACCGCCAGAAGTTCCCCCAATATCCAGGCTTTGCAACTTTTCAATGCCCAGCGTTTGCGCCCGGTTTCGGGCTCCAGGACCCTTCCAGATCGATACGGGTCGTCAGGTGCTGCAGAAAGACGAGGTCTGGGGCTATGGCCGCGATTTTTGCGATACTGTACTGTTCGCAGTGTCGAATCTCAGGGGATGTCCAAGCGGAGAAACAGCTGCATTACGCATAAACTTTGGGAGCTCCGCGCGGATCTCTCGGATCGGCGCTGGGCCCCCCTGGCGGCGCTTGCCGCGCGCCAGGGAAGGGGGCCCGCCGACCCAAGAAGTCCGTGCGGACCTCCGAACGCTTCTGTCTATGCGTCTGTCCTTCCTCTGTCTGTTGCTCCGGAGTTCGGAGTCGGGCCCTGGGGCCTCGAGGAGGGGTGGACGTGGACATCTGCCCGTCCGCGTTGGCGGGCAGGCATCCGTAGCCATCGCTCCCCAGGTCCCAGGACACGGCCCTGCGGCAGTGGATATGCGGGCATCTCTCAACGACACCGCAACGGGTACTTACTAACGGGTACTTTGCAATTTTGCAGAAAGTTGCCACTTTAGGGCCGCTTTCTGGCAATGCAGCGTTGCCCGCATCGGGAAGGGTTGGGTTCGCTGGGTCACTGGCCAAAGTACCCGTTAGTGGAGTCCCCGTTTGAGGGGCGCTGAATCTCTTGGCAGCACACCATTTTAAGGGCGGCCCGCGGAGGCCTCTGGGACTCTCGGCCGCGGGGGCGCCCCGGGCGCCAGGGCCGTTGGCGACGAGCTCGGGACGAAAAGGTGGCCCCCAGGGGGGGGGGAGCTCCGCGGAACAGCTGTCCAGGACCAGATCCCCTCAGTCGGGGGAGAAAAAGATACGGATACGTGTTGTCCCCCTTCGTTTTCGGCTTTTCCTGGTCCTCCTGGGGAATCCTCGTTGTCACCGCTGGATTCGCCTCGAAATTCTGGTCAGAACGCACCCCAAGAGAGGTCCGGGGACAACACGTATCCGTATCTTTCCGCCCCCCAACCTCAGGACGGACGGGCATGGCCAGAATCGGTGTAAGTGGGTGTGCAGTTGACGTGCTCTCACTGGTGGCAAGGACCCGTGGACCCGATGGGGCCGCTGGGCCAGCTGACCGTGGAGGGTGGCTTCGTGAGGCTGGAGATCTGGAGGCCGCGCAGGCTCGGCGGGGGCTCGGCCAGGGTGGGCGGGGTGCGCCGATCGAGGGCCAACGCTCGGCGGGGATAGGCTCAGGTGGTCTGAGCTTCGAGGTTTTCAGGCGTTTTCGTTGGTTCTGGACGGTTTTGCGAAACCGCAGGATGCTCTCCAACAGCTGCGCCTCGCCGAGAGCGTTCCAGGGGTGCCCGAATTGTCCCGAACGGTCGCTGGTGGCGCGCGTTATGACCCGAAGGCCTCTACGGGGGTGGGCTCAGAAAGGGGGATCGAGGACGCATCCCCCCCCCGTCGCCCATGCCTCGCCGGCAGGTGCTCGATAGCCCACCCCGCCCAGGAACTTGCGGATTTGCCACCGGGGGCATGTCGCCGACCTGTCGGCGAGGTACCCCCGCCGAGCCGCTCCCCGCCCGGGCCGCTCCCCCTCCCGGGATCGAGAGCCGAGGAGTTCTGCATGCTTTTGCACGTCTGGGCCCTCGTGGCCGCGGCTGGGCGCAGCTCGTCAGGCTGGCCGCGATGGGCCCCGTGTGGGGTCCTGGGATCGGGCGACGAAATCTATACATATCCACTGCTCCCTGACCATGCCCATCTTGAACCCAGGAGCTGTGTATGCGCCCTCCTGGCCAAGCCAGGAGGGCGTGGCGTATACACCGCTGCGGGGTTCAGGATGGGCCTGGCCAGGGAGCAGTGGATATGTATAGATTGCGTCGCCCTACCCCAGGGCGTACAATTGTCAGCCCAGTGTGTTTGCCCCGTGAGCGCAGCCCGTGTCGCCCCTCACTGCACCGCCTGCGTCGTATTGAACAAGCACACGCTTCGCGCGTCGCGGTCCGGGTCGTAGTGATGGCTTTTCTCCAGAGAGGGGCGGCGCGAGGGCGCTCGGCCTCGAGGGCGCGAAGATTGTCGCGGGTCTCGCATCGCGAGGCGCTATGCGCGAAGTCGGGAGACCCCACTAGGGCGCAGCCTGGTCCACCCTCCCTGTGCCGCCTGCGTCGTATGGAAGCGCTTCGCTGGGCAAGCACAATCCTGGGCCGTCGTGGAGCCCGCTGTGGGGCCCTCCTGGACCGACGCTGACGCCAGCACCCTGTGCCGCACCGCCTCGGGCGGCGCTGTGCTCGTGGACGCGTCGGGCGCTCGGGCGCTCCGCGGCTCCTCGGCGACGCCGCAGCGGAGCGAGCCGCGGAGCCTGCCGCGCCGCCGCGGCCGCGAGGGCGGCCGGCCTCGCGCTCGCCCCCCCCCCCCCTCCCCCGTGTCGGCTCCCTCCCTCGGCCACGCGCAGGGGAGGGGGGGGGGGGGAGGGCGAGGGGGGAAGGCTTCTCAGAGGTGCCCCTCGCTTCTCAGAGGAGTCGCGGGCCTTCTTCGCGGCAATCCATGGGTGTGAGGCCGGCGCCTTCCAAGAAGCGGCCGCCTCCTCCGAAGAAGCCTTCCCCTCGCCCCCCACCCCTTGTGCGCGCCGCCGACTCGGCGGGCGGGGCCGAGCGCGGGCGCTCTGCCCTGGCTCCGTGCCGGCGCTCGGGCCGACCCCTCTGAGGCCGATCACCAGCTCCTTTTCTCGAGCAGTGGCGAAGCGCCCTGGTTTGCAGAGCCTCTTGTGTTTGTTGCGCGGAATGCTCTTAAATCATTTCTGGCTGAGGCCGTCTTGTTTTCCAAGAGTTCTGTCTTTCTTGTAAGGACATTCTTTGACTCGAAAGGGCGTGTTCTACCGTTGCTGGCAGACCTCCCTCTCGAAAACCGGGGGAGGCCACTGTGGGTTCCAACCCCCCCTTCCCCCCCCCCTGGGGTCCATCATGAAAAGGGGAGGGTTCACTACCGGTTCGAACCCCCTCCCCCCCAGAAAACTGGAGGGGGTCACTACCAGGCCGAACCCCCCCCCCTCCCCCCTCGCCGCAACGATTCCCCTTCCTCTCCCATTCTGGATGGGGGACTGGTGGGGACAGTGGTTGGGACGGTGGTGGGGATGGTGGTGGAGTGTGGGGACAGTGGGGAGTGGGACCGTGGTGGGGACAGCGGTGGGAACAGTGGGGACAGTGCGACCGTGGTGGGAGCACTGGCGGGGACAGTAGGGACAGTGGTGGGGACTGTGGGGGCAGTGGGACAGTGGAACAGTGGAACAGTGGTGGGGACAGTGGGGACAGTGGACAGTGGGACAGTGGGACAGTGGTGGGGACGGTGGTGGTGGGGACAGCAGTGGGACAGCGGTGGGGATGGTTGTGGTGGGGACAGTGGTGAGGGCGGTGGTGAGGACGGTGGTGGACAGTGGTACAGTGGGAGAGTGGTGTGGACAGGGACAGTGGGACAATGGTGGGGACATTGTGGACAGTGGGAACAGCAACAGTGGACAGTGGTGGGGACAGTGGGACAGTGTGGGGACGGTGGTGGTGGGGACAGTGGCGAGGGACACCGTGACAGTGTGGGGCCAGTGGGAACACCTGTGGGGACGGAGTGTTGGGGACAGTGGTGAGGGCGGTGGTGAGGACGGTGGTGGGACAATGAGACAGTGCTACAGCGGGGAGAGTGGTGGGACAGTGGGACATTGGGACAGTGGTGGGAAAAGTGGACAGCTCAGTGGGACAGCGGTGGGGGTAGTGGGGACAGTGGGACAGTGGTGGGGGCAGTGGGGACAGTGGGGAAGTGGTGGGAACAGTGGGGACAGTGAAGAGAGTACGACCGTGGTGGGGACAGTGGCGGGACAGTGGGGACAGTGCGACGGCGGTTGGGGCATTGGTGGGGGCACTGGTGGGGACAGTGGTGGGAACAGTGGGGACAGTGGGACAGTGGTGGGGACGGTGGTGGGGACAGTGGTGAGGGCGGTGGTGAGGACGGTGGTTGGGACCCGGGAGTCTTCTGCTGGCTGCGAGGGGGGGGGGTCGAACCGGTAGTGTCCCCCAGGATATTTTGGAGGGGGGGGTTCGAACCCGCAGTGATCCTCTTGGTTTTCCTGAGAGGGGTGGGTGGGAGGGGTTAGGGGAGGGGGCGGTTGCCGGGGGAAGGGGGGGGAAGGGGTGGAGTTCGAGCAAAAAGCGAGGGGGGGCCGGGCTCCGGAGAAAGAGGGGGGGGAACTTTCCACCGTAGTGCGGCGGTGGATCACGCTCTCTCTCTCTCTCTCTCTTTCTCTCTCTCTCTCTCTCTCTCTCTCTCTCTCTCTTTGATTATAAGAGCAATGCGTGTTCGGCCTATTGGAGTGCCAGGACGGCTGGTCCTTGCTCAAGTGTCGCCTCTCTCGGTCGGCGGGCGGCGCCGAGAGCGGGCGTTCTGCCTTCGCCTGCGTGCCAGCCGACCCCTCTGGGGCCGATCACGACCTCCTGTACTTTCCTGCTCCTCCTCCTCCTCCTCTTCCTCCTCCTGCTCCTCCTCCTCCTCCTCCTCTTCTTCCTCCTCCTCTATCCGCCTCCTCCTCCTGTATCCTCCCCCTCCTCCTCCTCTTCCTCCTCCTCCTCCTCGTTTCCTGCCCTGTCCTCACTCATAGGAGGGGTCGCCGCTGTTTGGCCCGAGCGCCGACGCATAATTGTTTATTGTACGGAGGGTTGCACAGTGCATTCAACAACTTATTGCCGCCATGCTTTCTCCCGTACAGCGTCCAACACCCGCAACTCTAGTTGGTAGCGGAGCAGGGGACGATCCCAGTTCGTGATCCATTTAACGTGCGAAAAGTGCGGTGTGGACGGGCATTCGCAGCCACCTTCGCTTCCTCATCGGTACCACTTTCCGCGTATGATTGTTCCGCAAGCCAACCGGCAAGGCGCTTCGGACATTTGGTCTTGGTCCGATTGCGAAGGCAACAGCAGAAGGCGTAATTTCGATGAGGAACGATTCGCCCACAGGAACGCCACGAAGTTCTTCGACCCATCGCAACCCCACAGGCACTGGCCGCAACTTCGCGTCGGGCATGCCTGCGAGGCTCCTTCCTGGGCTAGCGCCGTGCTTCGGTACGTGTGCGATAGTGCCGGCTGTCCTTGTGAGCACATTGTACCGCCCGCGTGGAATACTGCAAGTCTACGTGCCAGTTTCACCGACCGTGGCTTCGACCAAGGTTGACATCATGGCTGCCCCGCACTTCGACATGGCGTTCGTCCCTGCGCAGGCCTGAGCCCCAAGGCCCAAGGCGCCTCCGCAGCCATCATCATGGTGAGGCACTATCGAGGAAGATCTCCATCTTGACGTTCTGGGGCAGCATCCTCGTGCTTTTCGTGGCCATGCTTTTCTGGCTCACTAGCATGATGATTGGTGGACCCAGTCCGCAGGGCGGTGGCGGCCGCGGTGCCATCACGTCCCGCCAGCCGCCCTCATAGTCACCCGGTGGCGAGTCCATGTATCCCTTCCGCCTATGGGTACAGGAACTGCTGGCTTGGGGCGCGCGGTCCACCGACATGGGCAGCGCACAACAATGCGCCGCCGTCATCCTCATCCTCGGTGGGGCCGCTCGCGAGCTCAAGCGCCCCATGAGCTTCGCGGATATGACAGAGGGAGGCATGGCCAACGGCAAGCGCGAGGATGCCGTGATCTACCGCATCGCGAACCTCGCCACAGTTCGGCCCATTCGGCGAGGAGTCGCGCACCCAGGCAACCCGCAAACTCTTCGACTTTGCGAGGCGACGCATCGAAACCACTGACGTGCTGCTCTCGCGGTTTATCGAGCTGCGATCCCGAGCTGCGAGCGAACGTGGAGCTGCGATGTCTTGGGAAGGGAAGGCTACAGCTGGCTGCTCCTCCGAGCGGTCGGCGTCGAGGCTAGCCAACTCATGATTCTGCTCCAGCCTTGCGGCAACCGATGCCCAGCCACTGAGGCCAGGCTCATGACTACGCTCAGGCGCGCGGGTCGCATCGTGGAGCATGCCCCAAACAGCGCGCCGCCATCTTTCGGAGGTTCCGTGGGCATGACCAATGACAAGTACGAGAGAGCGCGACCCACCGCCGCGTCACTGTGGGAATTCCCCCGCTCTTCCTCTGGAGCCCGGGGCCCACCCTTCCACTCGCTTCGAAAATCCTCCCCCTGCTGGAACCCCTGCCC